CTCTTCCTTGGAGCCTTCCCAAAGGTCTCACACAGATTAACTGCTACCTTCACACAACATATTTGTTGAGGTATGTCTCCCCTAGTTACCTGGGGCCGTCAAAGGGCGGAAGCTGTGCTTTCATCATCTTGGTGGCCCCAGAACCTATCACAGGGTCTAGTGTGTCATAAAACACTCACTGAATGCGCTCATGCATCTGGGTGGCCAAAGGCACAACAACGCTGCTGCTAGGAGGGACAGCCGTTTCTCCCCAAAACTTTCTCTGGCTCTGCAGTTTTAGCCAGACTCACTAATACTTCCTCTCATGACTGCTTGTGCTATGGGCAGTAGTTTTAATTTGTTCCTTTATTACCCATTAACTTAACAAATGCTTACTGAGACTCTACTATAGGCCAGGCATTGGTTGGTCCTGAAGGCTGGGAATGAAGGACACAGAATCAAAGCCAGAGCTGTATACAGCAGGAAAGAGCAGGTGAAAGGACCAGGGCAGCTCCACAGGGATGTTCGGGTGTAAGACCTGAATTTAGGTCTGCAGTAGCATCATGTTGATGCTGTTTTGGGTGTGCTGCCAAAGCCCATGAGGCACAGGCTCAGGAACAGCCTGCTTAGTGGCATAGAAATATGGCTGGGTACACCACTAAACCACATTTCCCAATCACCCTTGCAGTTAGGTAGGCCATGTGATTCCATTCTGGCCAACTGAGAATGGGCAAAAGTGATGACTGTACTTCCTGGTCTATGCCTTAAACATTTCCCACACAAGCCTCTATGTTCTCTCTTTCCCCACCCATTGGCTGAATACAATCATGACCATCCTCCAAGGATGGAGAGGAAGGGAGAGCAACAATATAATAGGGGCCTGGCCCCTTGATTTGGGGTTTGAGGTGAGCTTTCCAGGAAAGCCACTCAACCAAGAACAAGCCCATGGACTGTGATGTGAGCAAGAAATAAATCTTGACCATGTTAAGCCATCACAATGCTGGGGCTGCTTGTTACAGCAGTTAGCCTGGTCTGACTTATACAGAAACCTTTTATTGTTGTCTGAGAGTCTCTCTGACCTCAACCCCCAATCTTAACCCAGGTAATCAGCAAGATATCGGAGGAAGAGTGATGGCTGCTCAGGACAGCTCTCCCCAAACCCCAGGACTAAGTGCAGAAACTGCTTCACTCACCAATTATGCAGAATGAGAAAAGCGTCAGCTGTTTCCCCAGCTTGTCCATGTTTTTTTGTAGAGGAGTTTTAGGTGTCTGAAAGGATGAGAGCAATGGGTTTGTTAGAAGAGATCCCAATAGCGTCCCACAGCTTCTGCCTGGCTCTTTTATATCATTGACCTCTACACTTAAAATCTGTACACGTTACTGTCTGTAAAGCTACAGCTTGACAAAAATCCTAATAAATGTCTTAAAATACATTTTTAAAAAGTATACTCACATTAACCACATTATCCTCATTCCTAAGGGGTATCATTAGCCAAGAATAATCTCAAACCCCAGCTTACAAGAAACCCAGAGGGCCGGCCAAGTGGTTCAGTTGGTTAAGAGCTCGCTCAAGAGTTTGAGCTCTGAGCAACAGTGGTTCGATTCCTGACCCAAGCTGAGCAGCCTCTGAGCTGCCAACCGGTGGCAGGATGGCTCAGCTTAAAAAAACAACAACAAAAAAACCAGAGCCTCCACCACTGGCCCTTACCTCTTCCGCCTGCATCATCTTAAACACTTCTCCAAATTGAGACTTTTCCCCTGTTCCGATCACGACTCCCTGTGTTCAGGAGAGAGAAGCGTGAGATCTGAGGCTGGAGGTCTGCTGGTGATGGAAGTCAAGGCCTCCAGGGCACCCCAGAGCTTACCTGCCCCTTCCCGTACTGCACCAGGGTCCCCATGAAGACAATGTTTCTCAGGGCGGTGAGGTCCCCCTCACCCGTCAACGGGGTATCTGTCTTACTGCACGGCTCAGCCTCTCCTGTGAAACTAGACTCGTCTACCAGGAGGTCTGTGACCTAGGGGACCAAAGGGAAAAGACATAGGAATCTGCCCTCTCACCATGTAAACTGGTTTTCAAAGGGCAGAATGGTATCTAGCACCTTAATGTCAATTGCCAACAGACAACAAACAAGGAACACATCAAAATCAAGCAACAAGTATCTGAGCATGACCTCAGATGTCTCAAGAATTGGAAAAACTTTGAATGTGTGGTCCCTCTAGAAAATCAAAAGTCTCATACCTTCTTTTAACATTATTTTAAATTTTAATTATAATTAAAAAAATATGTAGGCAATGGTTAATTTTGAAAATACCTTTCAAAGCACCTGTGCCTTTCTCCTAACATTCCACATGCTGGCCACCTGGGAGATGTCTGTATAACCTGTGTGGTTTGAACATCTCTGAGCCGGGTTATTCACTGACAGGCTAAGGTTATGTTAACAGCATAAATGTGGACACACACACAGATACACACACACATGTCAGAAAAAGAGGAGGAAGGTGCTAACATTTCTAGACCCTACTATGTACTAAGCCCTGTGCTGAGCATGTCACAAAGCTTATCTCTTAATTTTCACACTCTCCATGAAAGATGATATTATTTTCTCCATTTTACAGATGGGGAAACCGAGGCACAGAGAGTAACTTGTTCAAGGTTATATAGCTACTTAGTGGCAGAGCAGAGGTTTGAACCAAAGCTGTTGTTCCAAAAACTGCACTCTTGGGCTGGCCNTCTAAGAGAAAAACGCACCCAGCTTTGCACACTGTATGACAGGTTTCATGAGCCACCCTCTTCCCAAAGCCATTTCCACCATCCACGGCCCCAGGGTAGGCACCCGGATTAGACACTCATGACAGAATGGAGGCTCAGAGAGGTCCGATGACACGCCCAAGGACACAAGTAATCCATTCACAGGTCAGAACCCCAGTAAGACAGGGTTTTCCTATACGAAACCACAAGGGGTACACATTTTGCCAAATTCTTCAACCTCTGACAAAGGAAAAAGTCCCAGGGCGCCGCTGACTTACCAGTTACACTCAGGAGGCACCAGCTTGGTCAGCTCTTGAAGAGATTTCTCCGACCTGTACTCCTGGCAGGAAGCACATCAAACATGCTGTTCAAAGGTGGGAACTCCACAGAGCTCCCGTCATGCCTGGGTTACCCCGACCAGGACCTTGGGAAATAAATACACACCTGGATAAAGGCGACGGTGACCACAATCAGCACGGCCTACGGAACAAAGGGGAGGGGCGTTAACACCCGGCTGCCCAGCAAGCGAGGGAGCCCATGGGAGGTGAGGGGAGGACATCGCTTTTCAAAACATATTCCCTTTCTTCTTGCAAAAGAAGTGTACCGTGCAGAAACTTAGAAAAGAGATGAAGCAAATAATAATAATAATAAAGAGCAGAAAAATCACCCCAAATTCCACCACCCAGGGGGTCACATTTTGGGGTACCCCTCTAGATTTTTTAGGCGAACTTTTCACTCAGCAACATATTGTAAAGGTTATACCACGTTAGAAGATCTGGATCTAATGCCAGCCTTTCAAACAGCAGCAGTGAATGTCACTGTGTGGAATGATTCATTTTTGTATCTTAGAAGAGTATATGACAGATATTATAGAAGGAAGCCGGGATGACAGCCATCCAAAGGTGTTTGGTAGAAGCCAGATATAAAAGGTCACATATTGTGATTCTATTTGTATAAAATATCCAGAATTGGTAAATCCACAGAGATAGAAAGCAGCTTGGCGGTTGCCAGGGGCTAAGCAGGGGCAATGGGGGGCAACGAAAGGGTTTCCTTTTGGGGCAATGAAAATACATTGGAGCTAGATAGAGGAGGGTGGTTACACAACATCACGAATATACTAAATACCATTGAATTGTTCACTTTAAAATGGTTGATTTTTTTTTTATTATGTGATTTTCACCTAAATTAAAAAGAATTTTTTTTAAAGGTGCTCGGTAGCTCTCTCTGGGTAGCAGATTATGAGCGATTTACTCTTTGTACTGCAGGCACAGCCAGGACCAAGCAATTCCATCCAGGGGTCATGGGAGCGGAGTTCACTGCAACAGCGTTCCCAGCAGCAAAGACCGGAAACCACCTGGGTATCCACCAAGAGTGCAATGGCCAAATAAACCAGGACACCTCCATATGGGGCCAGAGAAAGCTGTGGATTTGCTTTCCTTTCTTCCTGCTGCATTATCCTTTTTTTNTTGGAGGATGGGAGAAGAGGGGGAAAGGATTAGGAAGTACAAATTGGTAGTTACAAAATAGTCATGGGGGTGTAAAATATAGCATAGGGAATACAGTCAATAATATTGTAATAACTATGTATGGTGTCAGATGGGCACTGGACTTAATGGGGTGATCACTTTGGAAGTTATATAAATGTCTAAAAATTCTTTAAAAAATAAAAAACATGCCAATGCCATGGAATACCAGTCCCCAAGACGGCAGCCGCTAGCTCTTGCCTATGTAAAACCCATCTCTCCCTGTTCTTCCCTAAGAGAACCCCCACAGTGTTGGGAATGGTAATGTGCCCTGCCACACAATCCTATTTCCCAGCCTCCCTTGCAGCTGAAAGTGTCTCTACAACATGACTATGAGACATAGGAGAAGCACCCTAGTCCTGGAAAAGATTTTTGAAGGCGGCTGAGCTGACAGGCCCCCTTTGCCATTCTTACTTTCCTCTTTCTCCCTCCCTGGACTTTCATTATTATGGCTGGAGCTCCAAACGCCATCTGGAAATCACTAAGGGGATTACCACAACCAAGGGAAGGCAGAATGGGGGGCTGGGAGAAGCCCAGGTCCTTCATTCCATGGTGGAGCCGCCATGTTGGAGTTCACGTCCGGACTCTCATTATGTGAGAGAGGAATAAATCCCTGGCTAGTTGAAGCCAATATATTACCAACCAAATACAAATATTGACTGATCTAGAGTTTGTATTTTTTAATCCCCAGGACACCAAGGAAAAGACAAATGACTTCATGGGGAAGCTCCTAGCCCACAATGAAAGAAGAAATGGAAGAACTGAGACCTAGCACTACCGGCTGCTGACCCACAGACCCCAGGCAGCAGAAATGAGCACATCACAATGGCAAGCAGAGATTTAGTTCCCAGAAAGCACTGTCTCATGGGACATGACAATAATTTGAATAAGTTGTACTTGATTGGGAAATTTGGCTGTATATAAGTTTGAAGTACATGGACTTTGTACCTAACTTTATGTTTTGTTTTTTTTTTTCACATGTAAGTACTATTATAATAAAATCAAGTCAACACTGGGAAGGGAGCCCCTCCACTGACTGAGTGTGAAAGGCATAATTAGAACAATCTGGTGTTCTAATCAGATCTAATCATCAACAGCAGGTTTGGGAATGGAAAACAGGAGGGTGGAGGGGCTGCTGTTGGAAGGATAAGCCGGAAGAGAAGGAGAGCTTCCTGAGGGATCTGAGACTGGAAACGGGCCTTGAAGGGTGAGCAGGCATTTGGTGAGTGCATCAGGCAGGTTCTCTAGAGAGGGAAAAGGAGGCAAGATGGGGAACTGATGGTGGGAGAACATGGTCATAACACGCTTGATCAAAGCAACTGAGAGTTGGGGGAGGCAAAGAAAAGATTTCTCTTCTCCCAGCACTCCACCAACACTACACGGGCAGAAGCCAGGAGTGCTGAGCACTGGCACCAGTTTGCCTTCTTTGGGGTACAGGTTCCTGGGAGTGGGCAGAGGTGGGCACTGTCTGGGGTGCTGAAGCCACAGTAGGAAGGAGAGCTGTCCTCAGGGAGCACTGCATGGAAGATGGGACTCAACCAAGATGAGAGGGTGCAGGCAAAGACAGGAGGTTTGGTCCAACTGGGGACACAGAGGGCGACCAGCTTGACTGGAGCAGAGCATGTGTGGAAGGTGTGGTTGGCACCCAATTACTTACCTTGCAAGTAATGAGGAGCCATGAAAAGTTTTGAGCAGAGAAGGAAGGGATGTGGGTGAAATATCCAAAATGATGTTAGAAATTGGAAGAGGTAGGCAAGTTGCATTGGGAAAGAAAGCCTACAGTCAAAGACATATAGCCCAAGTGAGGCACAGGAAGGTCTCATGGATAGAAGAGCCAGACAGGAAGGACAAGGAAATTGGCAGCAGATGGGCCAGTTGAGTGGTTCAGTTGGTTAAGAGCTTGCCCAAGAGTGCGAGCTCTGAGCAACAGGATTGCCGGTTCGATTCCCACATGGGCCAGTGAGCTGTGTCCGAGCTGAGCTGCTGCTGAGCTGCCAACGGGTGGCAGGATGGCTCAGCTGGTGAGAACACATGCTCCTAACAAACAAGGCTGCCAGTTCCAACAGTGGGCTATGCCCACCCGCAACTAAAGACTGAACTTGGCACCTTGAGCTGAGCTGCTGCCCGGATGGCTCAAGGGATAGAGTGCGTGCTCTTAACAACAAGGCTGCCGGTTC